GGTGATTTGCCAGTACTCTATTTTTACTGTGTACTTTCATCTTCATAATTAGACAGGATATGAGAATAATTTATTACTGTAGTCACTGTAATGAATATAAAGTATATATTTTATATAACATATCTGATATGATATAATGATGTAATAGAGTGACCTATGAATGAAAATAATAATCTGATGATATAAATGTTGACAGCCAGTCGGCCATTCCAGCTTTTGTGTGCTTTATTAGTTGGCTTTTATCATGTCTGATATAGTGTGTGTGTCGTACGTTGGTTGATATTAATTGTTTTTCAAAAAAACGTTATGAAAAAAAAAAGATCTTGTCAAAATCTTTGAGTACCCATGTATGGGCTGATGGAATGAGGTGTGTCAAGCAAAGTCAGAAGTATGTTTCATTAATGTATTATTGATGACGTAGATCATAATCGAATACAGACTGTTTGAGAGTGGACGTGTGATCTGGTACTTACATACAACGCATAGCCTGTCAGTTTTTTTGTTAATGACCCACCGTTCATTTGTCGAGATCTAACTTTTTTTTAATTCGACTCTATATATTTGAAATGAGCAATTTATCATATTACAAAGATCCTCATCACCATTTTATAAAATAGATAAAGACACGTAGCTTGGCGGTCAATTACCCCCAGTACTTTGGACTGAGCCAAAGCTCTTGCTCGGCTATGCATTGTTCTCTCTTTGAAGTTTGAAGAGATAAGATAAGAGCTAAACAAATATTAAAAAAAAAAACACTTTTATTATGATAAAAATGTCATTTAATCATAAACATACATTACATTTAATGTAAAATTATATGTTTAGTCATCTCGTTGCCAGGAATCATCTTCATTATCAGTTTTGCGAGAAGTGAAGCAAACGAGGGGAAAAGGACACTTTGTTGTGGTATAAATTTTATTTCTATTTTAAAATAAATAAATTTTGGCACCATGCTGCCATAATCATGCCGATGTTCGGGAAGCGAGGTACCCGAATATTGTCATATCATCATATGGAGATATTCATGGACATGAAACTATCCCGTTTCTAAATTTTGCGAGCGAGTGAAGCGAGCGAGGAATTTTTTAAATTTTAAAATCGTTATTATCTATGGAATGTTATTTGCTCATGAAAATACCCAAAGTGATATAAATTTGGGCATCTTGTGGTTTCTGATACTTCGTTTTCGTGAATTTGACGTTATTCCAGAAAATAAATAAAATACTGTTTTTATTTATTTTTTTATTTTTTAGGTTTTAAAAGACAAATAAATATACATGATTCAAAGGGCCAAGGACCAAAACTGATCATGTTTACAAGTTATACAATACAATTATAAATACAGTGAATATATAATATTGAGCCAAACGAACAGGTATGATAGGTACAAGATGGTAATAAAGATGACATACATAATACATTTCAATCAATACAATACCAAAATAAACTAAGAGAAAGTAGTGGTCAAGATCGTCAAATTACTAAACTGTTATATTATATGGTATTGGTAGCAGATAAACAGACATTAATAATGTTGAGTAACCAAACAATCAAAGAAAATAGGGGGAAAATATATTTTGAAAATAGGCAACGGTAAAGCCTTAAAACCTGAAATAACATAATTACGTTTGAGTTGAAAGGGTTACCACACAGAAATATATATTACAAATTGGAATCGACTTTAAAAAGCAGTTATACAATGCCATTATTAAAATATAAGGTATACCAAATTGTGAATGTGTCAATTAAAATGATTCTGAGGAATAAGGAAAAAGGGAGAGAAAGAGAGAGAGAGAGATGGATAGAGAGAGAATCAAGGCTTATTCATTGAACGAACAAGTGAAGGAACAGCAGAATGATATCGTTAGTCCTGCACCTAATGACCAAACCATGATTATTACGGAGGGGGCGAAACGTGGGCAAGGAATCTTTAGATGGTGGAAGTAAGTCTCTGTGTCGGGACGTAAGTAGCGAGTGGGCAAACTTAGTATCAAGCTCAATTCTTCTTGCTTGAAGGGAGGGTACTCTCGCGGCAGTCCGGATAAAAACGCTGTACTAGATGGTCAAAATTGAGGGGGCAGATTGACTAGGCCGAGAGAGGATATACCCCTTCCATCTTCAGAGTGGGAAAATTTCGCATTTCAAAGTGAAAAGAACAAACATTCATCCTCTTTCTGTGTCTCTTCTCCCGTACTGTCTTCTATCTTTCAGTCCTATCTCCGGCACTCTGCTGGACAATACATCAGGGACGCAGATCGGATCACCCCTAAGCATTTGTAGATAATTGTTTAATGCACCTTACAACAGATTTCATGCAATACTTATCATGTACCTACATTACTGATTCACATAATATCATAATCTTTGAAGAGCGTTTCGAGCAATTTTTCTTTGTACATGTATATTAATTTTATCTCACGTTCTTTTTCCTTTTCATTCATCTCTCCCATTGCTCTCATACCTCTTCTTTTTCTTTTCTTTTTGCCATTCGATTGGGGAGGGGCATGTTCCCAGCCCCGTGCCCCCCCCCCCCCCCTGTAGCTACGCCAATGTGCTTTATCACTCAAACCATTACGTGCTAAAATAAACACGGAAGAGCATTCAAACACACATGCAATACAATTTGAATAGGATACGTACGCTGTTCATAGTACGCTGTACGTAGTGCTTAAACAAAATAATATCCTGATGACCATGGAAGAAGACTGCTGCCTTGATGATCGGAGCCAGATAGATCAGCTGGGCAAGGATGCAAGAATTATTGTAGCGGATCAGAAGAGTAAGCGGATAAGTGAAACCAAGTGAAACCAAGTGAAACCTGATGAAACCTGAAGAACGGCCACATATTCTGGATCGAGAGAGATCAGGACGCACACTATAAGCAACGGCTGCATTCCGACAACAGTGGGAAGTTTGATCTTCTCAAAATTGTTTGTGTAAGAATATGTCTTCATGATAGTAGATAAAAAGGAGTCCTGGCAAGGAGTTATAATTTCCTTTGTCCTGGTAGAGGAGGTAAATATTTGTGAGCTTTTCTATTCTTTACATGGTATTGTAGATTATTTTTTGTCAAGTTTTGGTTTATTGTGTTTTTGCGTGTTTCCGAGCAGAACTCAATACTTTCTTATAGACGGACATATATATATATATATATATATATATATATATATATGTCAGACCCTGTTTATTAACAAAGTATATTCTATTTTTGAGTAAACCTATATTCTATTTTTGAGTAAGCTTATATTACTTTAAATTGTTGAACATTTGAACCCCTATTTAAATTGTACCTTTAAACTATTAAGACCACCTCTCTGGTATATGTCACTGGTGAAACAAAGACGAGAACAAAGAGACCCATATTATATAGGCCTTGCTTATGTCAAAAAGCCCAGACCATAGTACTCCTTTGTCTCGGGGATGGGAATGGTGGGGTTGTTTGCCTGGTTTGGAAAGAAGATTGGCTTTCTCGTTGAGAGCAAGTTCAGACTTCAAGGCAGATAGACGTGTGATGTAACTTCCCCCAGAAGTTACTATGTCGCAGCTTTTTAAGACCTGCCTTGATTTTGTTTCTTAACAGGTAAGCGAACACTCACCTTCCTCAAAGTATATTCATGTCCTATTCAAGTAAATTATAGAGATATCACAAGATCCTCTTGCAATTTGAATGAATTGTATGATATTGTTTAGTGTGATTCTCCTTGCGTTGGAAAACCCATTGTGTTATATTTTCATGTGTCTGTCCATTAACTTTTGATACAAGATAATAATAATATAATATGTCTTGTTTACCCAGGGTAGCCTCATCAGTATTCATACTGTTCTCCCTGAGGGCCCTGCAATCATATTATTACCCCGGTCATCGGATGGTTGTGACTGTCTATGAATTAAGATACCACTTTCCACAAGCCAGACATATTTATAGTTATTTCATTCATTGTAAAAAAATACTCATCATTAGAAAGTTTAGTGATAGCCCAATAACTACTGGGATACGATAAATACTCTTGTTAAATTGCTGTGTTACATATAAAGGAGAATTCTTATTGATTAAGTAGGAGAGCAAGTTTAGACTTCAAGGCAGATAGACGTGTAATGTAACTTCCCCCAGAAGTTACTATGTCGCAGCTTTTTAAGGGGGGGGCGGGGGGTTAGAGGACACTATTTTTATTTTTTTTGGTCTCGAAATTTGAAAATTTGACATTTTTCTTCGTTGGGGGGGGGGGGTAAGGTCACCTTTTTTAGGTCAGCCATGGGTATGATTTTTTTTTAATAAAAACAAAACAAAAAAACAAAGGGGGGGTTAGGGGGGTTTTCCTAAAAAATACACACATAAAAATATCAAAGGGGGGTTCAACCCCCCTGCGTACGCGCCTGGTTCCACCATGGTTCCAGTTCCATTTCTCTCGGGACAAGAGTTGGGACTGCTGTCCGTTGTTCAGGCAACGCTCTCCGCCTGGTCGATGTATTTAGAACTTATTGAAGGACGACTCATGTTTTATCATTTGTACTTTATATGAACACCTATTCTTTTCTTCTATTCCTTGATATTTTTCTACTGTACAGTGTAGTTTACTTTGCTATTTCTCTATCATTCTTGTACCTGTACAATACATTGTAAAGCTTTGCATGTAAGCTATTTTGTATTGATTGCTGTTTGAAATCGAAATGCCAGTTGTCACACTGGGAATTTATTATCGGTCTACCTTTGACACTGAATCCTAATAAATACCTCTTTGGAATCATTGGCACAAAATATATGTCACAGACTTATGTATTTTAATGGATCTCCGTGTTTACTAATCTTAGTTAATTGAACCGGCGCAGGCATATAAGGCCTGTGTAACATATATAATGTTTATTCATTCATTTATACATGCGTCTGTTTGTGCGTGTGTGTGTGTGTGTGTTTGTGTGCTGAAATAGTAAGGAACTGCTGGAACCATGTTACAAATTTTCTAGAATCTCGAATATGTTGCTCTCTTCATCTTTACAAAGGTATCTACTTGAATACAATGTTGGACGATGATGGTGAAGATGCGGTTACCATGGCAACGAAGGAGAAGGTGGACGATGTCATCAGGACGGGAAATTTATTGCGGATTTTACGGAGCGTGCGAGCGAGGACTTATTGGGGCTGGGTAGTCACTGTTGCCTCGTCGATCATGTTCGTCGTCTCATACGGCTTCTTATATTCGTTCGGCATCATCATGGTCGATCTGATGAGCGAATTTGACAGCTCGGCTACTGACACTGGTAAGTCGCATCAGTGTCGATTTTCAATTACTATGATAAAATCAACGCACGCTTATCAACATCATTTATCAGCATACTGTATATCAAGATAAAATATCAACATTTATCAACAATTTCGACCTATGAAAATTTGTATCAACATCATTATATCGAAACTTATCAACATGTAGTATAAAACAATACAATATTTCATACATTTTTTAATGTTAGGCTTCCTGGGATAAGTTTCAATTGTTGTTAATTTTTTTTTTTTTTTTTTTTTTGGGGGGGGGGGGGGGTTTGCACCCTGTAGATAAAGATCACGTGATAGATCTCGTAATTGAAAACAAGTCAGTAAATGTGTAACCAGCTGGATTTAAACCTGATATCTACTGCTTGTCGGGCAGCGACTCTACCACCAGGCCATCACTGGTCCGTGGCACAGTGTCGATGAACCGGAAAATGGACTCATTAATGTTCATCAGTCTGCCATATTATATGAAATTCCATTAAACCAGGAACCTCTTGCACGCGAGCCAAGAGATTTTGTTAGACCAATCAAAATCCCCGGTATCAATATTGAGATTGTTCCTCAGCATAACGATCGACAGCAACAAAGTAACGATGTCCGCAATGAGGGAGTTATGAGGCTCTACTTCCTGAGAAAGCTATAAAGATAGTAAAGTTGAGTTCTGGTCATGTGATTGCATTGTGAAAGAAACGGTGTGGAATCGATCGGAAAAAGTTGATCATGTAGCATATAGGTATTGGCGTGTACTGCAAGATGCTGGAATCATCAAAATAATAAGAAATTTGACACAGTCTTGGAAGAAGTAACAAGCACTGTATACACAGAAAGATAGATATGGGACTCCAAAACATGTGGCATAAAAATGAGGACCACATTTTTAAGCTGTTACATGTCATATTTAGAATATGAAGGCATTTAAAGATCCATGCTTTTCATGCTTTATATCTCTGATGGTCTTCCACACTTGCATAATAACGATGAAAACGCTTGCAAATTCTTTGTCACCTCTCCCCAGAACTCAATCTTCTCTTTAAGTCTTATTTGAAACTATTTTACTCAGCTGTTGTAGAAAGTTCAATCTTGTATGGTTGCATTTTCTGGTAAAGTGGTCTGAGAAAGAACGACCAACTTAAAATTCAGAGGTTGTTGAATCAAGCAGGCAGCATAGTAGGGTAAAACATACGTCTGTAGAAGAAGACTCAGGTTATCGAAAATTGGAGCTGCATAGTTAAAGGGATAGTTGAGTTCCTAGTTCTGTTGCAGAGGGCGCTACACTTAATCATTTTTTTTGTGAGAAAATGAAAAACTGAGTGTCAAATTTGAAAGAAAATAATATTCAAATGACAAAATCATCTTTGTTTGATCAAAATCGGTTCAGAGACGGCTGAAATAAAACGATTTATTACTAGGGTGATCACACTGCCTGTGCACACAGTCTGCCCCATGCACACAAACAACAGCAGTCAGTTGGTTGAAATAGCAATTTTCGTAAATTTATTTTTAAAAAAACTGAACAATATTTTTAAATTTTATTTCACACATCTTTCAAGCATACCTTTAACTACAATTCTCTGTAGTTTAATTGTTATAGGCATGTGGGAAATATGTTAAATTATTAATTAGAATATTGTCTTTTCAGCCATGTGTGACATGGCCCGCTGATCGCCCATTGACTGTTATTCTGCGTGGTGAAAATGCACTTCAATGTATAAAACTCCCCTACAAAAATGCAATATCCTCATGTGTTTCATTCATTGAATAAATTTGTTATTTACACTCAACTGTACTGGGGTCACCAAACTTTGTTTTTCTCTGAAATTCAGTCTCTGTGGAATGTTATGGCCTGTTGAATTGAATGGTTTATCGGAAAATCGTCATAAATCCTCAAATTTAACATTTTTTTAAAAGAAACTATACTGTGATGTAGCTGAAAGTCTGCAAATTCTTATCATTTGTTCGGTTTTTCTGAATAATTTGTGAAACATATGAGGAAATAGCTGTAACGGTGATCCAAGTAATTTCCATCGCCATATTTTATTGGCATTGCACAAAAAAATATTTGGAATTTAACGTTAATATTTGGTGTAAATATGATCTATAAATATATGATTTTTTTAAAATGCCAACAAAATGAACAGTTTGACTTTCCTATATATATAATTAGCTGAATTGACCTAATTTGCATATTTGATGAATATTTATATATTTTGTTTTCTTCAAAAAAAATATATTTCCATACCTGTCTGATTTACATAGGTTTCATTGATGTATCATGTTCGGTTTTGATTTGATTACGTATGCGCATATTGATTAGACGGACTTAGTTATTTTCACAACTTTTTCATATCTGCAGATCGCAAAAATGGCAAAAATGACTTATTTTGTTTGCTTCTGTTTTCAAAACGGAAATAGATATATGAATTTTCTTTTTTGTATTTTTTACCACAAAGATGATATTTTAGTGTCTGATAATTTAATTTATTATTTGTGTCAAAGAAAGTGATGAATTAAGGTGTCAACTTTGTCGAATTTGCCATTTTTGCCAATTTGACCATTTCTGGCAGGTTTTTCGGTAATTTTGCGATATAAAAAAAAAATGGTATAAAATCACAACGGATTGACCGATTTCAATTCTGTTTTTTAAAGCTTTCATAAAGCTTGATCATTTGCAATCATCAAATAACATGTGTTTGTTGTACTTATTTTTGGTGTGCTATACCTACTAATACTTGTGTACCACCACAAATATTAGATATTTTGAATAATTTGAAAAAAACCGTTGGAAAAAACGAAGTAACGCCTTTTACGTAGTATTTCAGCCAATCCCGATGTAGGCTTTTTTGTTGGCATTTTCTTGTTACTTATATTACCCACAATTAGCCGGTGTGACCGCGTAGAATGTAACCCGCACCGATCGTCCGACTATTAGAGATCGATCGAGAGCGGACGATCGGTGCGGATTTTATCCGCGCAGAATGTCCGTGTCGGACATTCCGTGCGTGCCTCAAATGTCTGACGGACAATCCATGCGGAAGAGGTCTCGCACCAATAGTCCGCCTGCCGCACCGAATGTCCGTACTCTAGTCCACACATATAGTCCATATAGTGGAGGCTGTTAGGGCTAAATAGGGGTTGTTTGGTGCAGATTCTTCTAAAAGCACCAAATTTGGCCCAGAGGTAGATTATACCATACTTTTACGATTTCTTCCGGACGCCAAGAAGGGCACCCTCTGGGTATGCCATATTGGGCAAATCCAAAATGGCCGCCATCTGAGTTAAAGGTCAAGCGTAGTTCCAAAAGGAAAAGCGGTTGTATGATAATAGTTTATATATTTATGGGATTTTGGGGACAGAGAATCTGATTTTGATGTTCTTTCATCGATTTGAGGTCTCGTAGGGTCTGCCATACTGGTCATATTGGTCAAATCCAAAATGGCCGCCATCTGACAGTTACACATCAAGTGTAGTTACGAAAGGAAATGGGCTAGTATGATAAAAGTTTATATATCTATGGGGTTTTGGGGGTCAGAGAATCTGATTATGATATTCTTTCATCAATTTGAGATCTCCTTGGGGCTGCCATACTGGCCATATTGGTCAAATCCAAAATGGCCGCCATCTGATAGTTACAGGTCAAGTGTAGTTACGAAAGAAAATGGGCTAGTATGATAAAAGTTTATATATTTATGGGGTTTTCGGGGTCAGAGAATCTGATTATGATATTCTTTCATCGATTTGAGATCTCCTCGGGTCATACTGGTAATATTGGTCAAATCCAAAATGGCCGCTATCTGATAGTTACAGATCAATAGTAGTTCCAAAAGGAAAAGAGCTAAAATGATAAAAACAAAAAACAAATTATATTGTAAGGGGGTTTTCTGGGTCAGAGAATCTGATTATGATGTTGCTTGTATCAATTCGTTCCTATTTTCACGAAGTGACGGTAGTGAGGAAAATCTGCACGCAAATTGCGATTTTCATTCGCTACCGTCACTTCGTGATAATAGGAACGAATTGCAGGTCTCCTTGGGGCTGTCATGCTGGCCATATTGGCCAAATAAAAAATGGCCGCCATCCGAGTTAAAGGTCAAGCGTAGTTTCAAAAGGAAAAGGACCAGTATCGTCCCTTTTTTCACGAAGTGACGGATGAGCGCGCAATTAAAAGAAAGTTAGTTTTGAATAAATCGATTTCAACTTTTAGGATTATAATGTCAACCTCTTTAATGTATCAAGGGCAAATAAATGTTATATCATGGGATAGAACATGTTTCATTGTTTAGTTCTATGTTTAACTATTTCCATAATATCTTATATTTTGGGGAAAATGAGCTGTAAACATAACCGTCACTTCGTGAAAACACGAAATTCAAGGACGCGCTGGATTTTGTTTTCACGAAGTGACGGCTCGCAGCCGCGCGCGTAAAACATACGGGATTTTTCTCTCGTGGGTGGAATTCCCGAAATGGACACTAACTACGGCAAAACGTTATGTTCAATTGATGTACAGATAAAATAAATCAAACTACGAGATAGAGTACATTTTCCTCTTTCTATAGCTGCTTTTTTATTCCTCTGTTTGAACTTTTAACACAACCGTCATTTCGTGAAAACACAAATTACATAGAAAGCATTGATTTCGTTTTCACGAAGTGACGGATTGTAGCCGCGCGCGTTTAAAACATATGGGGTTTTTATTGTGTGAAACAGTTTCATGATACTCAACAATGGCAGTAGTTTAGTATAATACATGTAAAAGTAGGCCTAGTAGTAGACGTATCATTCTGATCCTTATTATCCTGATTATCTTTTGCAATACGTCTAGACGATAAACTCAAAGGCATGACAATTGACAATTTGTCATGAATCGTTGTCTTTATTTGGCGGGAGACATAGAAGAGAATGTATTATTATTCTTATTTGTTCATCGTCTCTACGATGCTCTTTGAATCAAAAACAGCTTTTAGTGCTAGGCTTCCTGAAAGAAATTTCA